CTTAAATATTCAGGTTCTTACAGTTTGTTTTGATTAAAACATACATCATACATGCTATAGAATAATATTGGTAGCATTTAAAAAGGACTGTAACTGGGAGTAATGATTTGATACTCTGAGTAAATTCTGTGATATTTGATGGTTTGAAATAAAAAATAAAAGTGGACATGTTGTCTCAGAACTGGATGCAAGGACAGACAGGAGACTGTGATTCTTTTTGTTGATTCTACTTTTTGTTTTACTTTTTGTTGACTTTAGTGGAAAAACTTCTAGAGACAGGAATAAAATAAACAACTGGAGAGGATGAAGAAGAGAAAAAGCTAAACTAAGAGAGAGCAGAATAGGCTTAGGAGGACAGAAGCAAGGCAGAGTTCTTCTCATGGAGATTGACAGTTTTATGTTTTGTTTATCTTATCTTTTAACTTTGAGTTTTCATTTATTTTATTTCCATTTTGTGGTTCTAGTCATATTTGATTGCATTTGAGTTCTTTTGTATTTCTTGTTTGCCCTCTTGTGTCAGTCTCTTTTTCCCTAGCTCCCTTCTAGCTTCCTCTGTCTACTTCTGCTCCCAATCTGCTTGTGAAATTCAGCTTGATTAAAAGCAGAACTCACAAATACTCAAGGGTTTTTTTTCCACAGGAAAACAGGCAAAGTGTTACAATTGTTAGCAAATAAAGATTCATAAAAAAAAAAATAATAATAATAAAAAAAATCACCCTACTACCAAGAATCCAAAGTTTTATTCAATAATATTTCAGTATAAATAGATCAATAACCCAAAAACCTTCACAACCAATTTATAAGAAAACTCAAAGTCTCAATTTATATCTGCAAAAAACAAACAAAAACAACCATAATGACTGAAAGTCCAAAACCGTCAGTTCGTTTTATTTCTGATAATAATGTCCAAACAGGACTTCCATATGCTCCGAACCCAAATTAAAATCCTGGAAGAGTTTAAGTCCAAACTCCTTTCCAAAACGAAAAACCCAAACTCTGACTGTGTTTTATCTTTCTTCATTATGTTTGACTTTTTTTTGAAGAGACAACCAGACAAAAACTCCCGCTGCTCAGACCTATCAGTGAGCGTCTTCCTCACCTGTCGAGCCGTGCGCACTGACGCACAAGCCCCCTTTTTATTAAGAAATTTCTCAACACCAAAACAACCCAGCATATTAATTCCCATCATCATTTTTTAACCAGTGGAGATTTGAAATAATATATCTAAGGAACTAACTGTTCTACAAGACAGTTTGTCATCGGTACACTTTAATGTACTTACTGAAAGAGAAAAATAACATAGTAGTTATGTTACATGCTGATTAGTCTGGTCTTTGATTCTGTCTACCATATCAGTGTATTCTCATTATGAGTTTGCATGAAATTTGGACGTTTTTTTCGTCGTATGCGCATCTGACGCACCATTCACGAATATAGAATCTAAATTACATTTAGCCCTAACCCTGACCCTAACCCTGAGATATAAAACAGCAAGCAACGTAGTTAGAGACATGAAGAAGTGATGATTGCACTGTTTTTCCCAGTTTTCCGACGTCCGCGGATCTGCTTTTTTTTTCTGTCTGCCAGCGCATTGCGCACTGATGTGGTTTTTAGAGGAAAAACGTCCAAAACGTACAAAATAGTGTGCATAACTTTTCGTACGATTTCATACGAACTGATAATGAGAATATGTGACCCATATATGCACCTCATGCTCAGTCACCGTTTGCTGGTTCATCGTCATTTCTCTGCCCTTCTTGTTAGTATTCCTGTTTTTTTTTTTGTGGTTTCAGTGGATTTATATTTTTTTTATTTTTGCTTCTGTTTCAACCCTTTAAATTAGATCTGCAAGAAACTCCCATTCAGCCTTAGTCTCTGAATTTGGCTCTTCCTCTGTAACGTCCACCAGCCGTAGAGTCCAGGATGGAGCATTTTCTATGTTATAAACTAAAAAAGTTAAATAAATAGCTGGATGCATAGATAGATAGATATAATGTCATGTTTTTTATTGGATTTAGAGAAGGCTATATAAAGGCTTATATTAATTTCTGGTTTCAAGTGGAGCTTTTTTTCCTCTTTAACAACAGTTACCTAAAATAAAAAAGTAAAAGACTTTTGCCACAGTCCTTCATAGTAGTATCAGTTTTATACAGAAATCGAGGAATTACATTTTTATATATCTAATAATTGTTTGGGGTTTTGTTGGCTAAGGAGGTGGGGGTTCGTGAACACCTCTTTGTTCAGTCTAATGCATGATTTTGGTCAGGACATTTCATCCTCTTCTCCTGCTGTTGGTGGTCAGATTTTTATAGCAGCCTTCTGTCAGTCTGCCCCAGGGCAGCTGTGGCAACAAAGTAGCTCACCACCATCAGGTTGTGAAAGCTATTTGAAGTCCTCTAACTCAACATAGAACTGCAGAAGTAGAGGATATTAAAAGTTTGAGATAAAACCTGTAAAAAAGTGTTTTAACAGAAACAGGCTGAAACTGCTCTGCTATTATAGGGGGCATCCCTTTAATACCAGAGTTCAGCTGTTCCAGTTTATAATAACCTGATTAGATGCAACATGAAGGTGGGTTATTGACAGGAGTCTGTAACATATTAAAGTAGATTGCTTGCTTAATGCTCAGGTCCATTTGTGACCAAGTTTTCCTTGTTTACATTTATTGGCTAATTTAGAGCATTGGTGATGCCTCATGAACGGTGAAATGGGAAGAGAAGATCTTTGATGATGAGCACAGGTTTTTATGAAAAAAAAATGGTTTTATTTTGAGAAAAGATAATGTTTAAAATAGAGTGTGAATTTAATATAAAACATTCTTTTCAAGCTAGAGAATATTTCTAAATATTTAAAGATCTAATTCCTGAGGTATTGATTCCCCTTTGCTTCACATTTCTGATGTCATCCTGCTTGAGTAACTTTGGGATATATTTAGATATCTCCGCATTTTATGAATGAATAAAATCTTTAAAACATTAATTCCTTAAAGGTTATGATTAACAAATACTTTTTATATTCTACCCCATTTCAACTAATTTGCCTTTTATGAAATAACACTGACTGAAGTGAGGAAACCTCTAGCGAAGCACAAAGGAAACCCCACGTCAGGGAGTTGTGCTCTCTCTGGTCAGACTGTTTGAAAGAGTCAATCTGGTAAGACTTAGGAGGAATCCACTCGCCTTCTCAAATATAGAACTGAAATGTTGATCCGGATGCTTCAGTCCTTCCAGCCGATCTCCAAGGTCGATGTCCAGGATCAGGGTCTTGTTAGAAATCAGTCAACAAAGACTGAAGGCTAATTGCCTGCTTAAGTGAACAGGAAGAGGGGAAACTAAGCAAGGTTTTTACTTTCTGGACCTGGATTATGCACCTTTGCTTCTGGCTAATGTAATCTTATTGTCCCTTGAATTCATATTTAAGTATATTTCTAAGGCTGGTCAGTGATTGCACATCAAACACACCAGCAGAAATCTACTTTTTAAATCTAAATGCACCAGGGGACTGAAAAGCCTTTATCAATAGATAAAGGGATCAACTTGAGCTTTTTGAACTCTTAAAGAGAGGTCATATCTGATCATAGGCATTCATTTAAAAAACATCTATCAGGGAAAGGATTACTTGATACGATACGATAAAAAGAAATACAAAGAACAGCATTTGGTTTGCATTGCTTTTTCACACGCTTGTTGGTTTGTTAACTGTAATGGGTGAATTTCCATATAAGGTTATCTGTACCCCTATGTATGGCTTTCGGAAGCCCACCTTGGATTGCTTCTCTGCTCAGTGTGCAGGCGTGTGTCTTACTCTCCATGTATTCACAGCCCGTGCGCTTTCCTTATCAGCAGTCTGAAGCTTGCATGCTCAATCGCCTGATTTGTCGAGGGTGACTCCAAAAGATTCTGATAGGCACTCCACCAATCACCCAGTTGATCTAAAATATCGACCAGCCACAAAAAGTCATTACACACAATAATGGCGGGCGGGACCTTGAAGATGTGACTTAATTAGGTTTCAAATGGTTTCAAAAATGCCTTCAAATCTACTCCCCCAGAGACTGAAATGCTCCTGGCTTTCTCTCAGTGATTACAGGAATAGAAAGTAAGGTACACAGGCACTGACGATGCCGCTGCTTTTACGTAAAGGTGATAGCAGCACTACAGAAATCAAAGAATATTTTATATACATGAATATTTTGCAATCATGCTTCTGCTATTCTTTAACTTGTTCATCTTCTTCAGGCTATGCTCTTCCTTTGACTTAACCAGATGGAAAGCATAGAGAGCTGTAAACTGTCTAATAAAGATCTAGTGAAGCAAATGTTGTATTTTCCTGATGAAAATTTGAATGTGACTGAATGCAAAGGGTTGTCTAGGCCAGGGATCTGCATCCTGCGGCTCCGGAGCCTCATATGGTTCTTTGGACCGTCTACAATGGCTCTTGATAGTGGCTAAAAATTATATAAAGGACTAAATAATGTGCTATAAGAACAAATACCAGTCTTTGATGCTTTTGTGGGTTTTATAAAAAAATATCGGAAAGCACCAGGAATATGTTATGAGAACGATTAATCCCATAACTAGCTTGGAAACTAGGTGTTTTATTATTATTATTATTTTTTTTACATCATTACCCTCAGAAAAAAATCAATGCTTCTGTTTTATGAATCGTTTATTGTTTTTTTATTATTTTAAAAGCAAAAAATCCAAAAAAGTTCTTGGATATTTAAAATGGCAACACTTTTCTTATGGCGGATATATAACAAAAATAATACGTTTTTTTGTTTTTTTTTATAAAAAAAAAATCAAGTAATATTTTGCAGCTCTAAATGAGTTTTAATTAGCAGCACTCAGAGCAAAATGGTTCTTTGGAAATGAAATGTTGCAGACACCTGCTCTAGGCTTAATGCAGCTACACTGATTTACGGCATTGAAAGAGATTATTTAATGGCTGTCGTTGGTCACTGAGACAGTTAACGGTATTTCACATGTGTCTAATTACAGAAAACAAAGATTTCTACATATGATAAGATGTGGGAGTTTATGAGCAGTCGGAGACACTCGGTGATGGTGAAGAACATTGAGGAAGGCATTCACCGTGTGCTCACCTCTGACTACGCCTTCCTCATGGAGTCTACCACCATTGAGTTTGTAACACAACGCAACTGCAACCTTACGCAGATTGGGGGCCTAATCGACTCCAAAGCTTACGGCGTTGGAACACCAATCGGTACGTACATATACCACACTATATAGCATTGAATTGAGGGAATATAATAAATAATTATTGTACTTTAGTGGTCTAATACTAGTCGATAAAATAATGATTACAAAATATTTTAAAAGCGCTGATGCTGGGCTAAGTTTTGTTGTTGTTTTTGTGTCCGTATTTACTGGATACACATTACATTATTCTTATTTATGCAATAAGATTAGACATCAGTGAATGTTTAAGTGACCAGTTAGATCTGTATGTATGGATAATTCTACATGGTAACAATCTAAATATTTGAAGGTAAAAGAAAAAATACTTTGAAGTTGATCAAATATATTGCATAATCAACTTTATAGCTAAACAGATAGACACCTCTGCGTAGTATAGAATAGTATGTATAGAGTATTATAATATATATTATATTATTTCCTAGAATGTTAAAATTCATTTTTAAGCAAATGTAAAAAATACAATTCTTAAAGAATCATTAAATACATATTTTGTTTTAATGAACATCAAACAATCCTACTTACATTATTTACACAGCTTGATTGACTCGTTGTAGGACTATTTTCTGATCAAATCATAATATAAGTTGAAAGAAATACAGTTTAAAACACTATTTAAGAAATGGCTCTTGTGTCAATTTCAGTTTATTGCCACATCCATTACGTAATTTATTGGGAAATAAGAACATGGTGCATCCTTTACTTGAATTTCAATTCTAATTTTTTGCAAGGGACATTCAAATGGAAGATGGTTCATTTTCTCCCGCAGGTCAACAAAGAAGGATGAGATCAATGATTGGTGGTCTAAATTGACAGTAGAAGTGAGAATGGAGAGGCGTTTGATTAATCTGCCTTTTTGATGGACTCACAAGCTGTCGGCGAGTTATCCTGCCTTTTCCAGTTAGGTCTAAAATAGACTGCTAGCTTAGGGGCCAACTCCATCAAATGATCAAACAGTAGTAATCTACATGCCATATATATTTATTTCAGAATCACAATAGTTTTCAAACCTAGAGATAATTTGCAATCTTTTAAAGACAGTGTTTCAGTACTCTTTTTTTCTATTCTTGCTGTGGATGATATATGATATCCAGAAGCAGCTTCCAGATGAATGGTGAAAATGTCCTTGGGGAGTGTGCATGTCGGGGAGGTCGTTTGCTGCTGTTTGTGTATGCTCTGTTGGTCAGCCACAAAAGGTAATTTTAGTGACTGTTTAGCTGTGTGTGAAAACACTGGAGGTAGGCAATATTTGCTTTGGGTGATTGCATTTCTTGACTGATGTGCTCCTTTCCAGGCATTTCTGCAGCATATGCATGCATTAGCTTGCTTTGCTTAGATGCCTATGGTACAGAAGCCTTTGAATTGTTCTATATTTCTGCTGCTGTTCATTTCGCTTATATCTATTCATATTGCTTATATGAATCCCTACAAATGAAATGACAGAAATGGAAAATGGAAAAGGAAGCTCTCTCATGTGGCTGAATGAGACATGTTACCATCACTATTGCCATGTAAGACATTCTTTTGTTGACAGAACAAGGTTTCTGAATACATGCACTCAGGGCCTGAAGTTAAGTTTTTTGGCCACCAGCCACTGTGACAGGTGGATTGTGAAATCAGCAGGGTTGATTTACCGCCCAACATCTTTTATTCCTAACATGAAGGTGAGAGCATCAGAAAATGCTTTAGAGGGGTTCTTGAACTTTTACTGAATATACATTAAAGTGCTGTAGGGTTTTTATTCCACTAAATATCATTTATGAATAGGTATGTTGTGATGAGTATTTAGTAGAGAAAATGACCAAAAAAAAACAGCCAATCACCTTACTGATGTTCTCATTATCATATCACAGGACAGAAGGACCCATTATTCAAGGCAAGACAGACTGTAGGATAATTTAAAGCGTTTATTTATAAACAAGCAGGATTTGGATCCGTGGTATCAGCAGTTAGGGCGTCTATCACTAAAGCTCTGTTGGGGAAAAACAGAAGTTAGCAGCCATGAAAATCTGACTGAGGATTATTATCCATGTGAGTCACTAACCTGGTTCAACAATTCAGTTCATCCCAGAGAACACGGCAGGATCCAGCCTGAGGGCTGCCTACTAAATGCGACGGGCGCCGCCCAGAGTGTCCCTGATGCTGCAGCCCTGGAGGACAAGCAGAATTCTGTGCCAGGTCAGGGAAACATATTAGAACAGGAACAGGGTGGTTCAGAGTTCCAGGAGTCCACAGACAGCTCAGGCTGAACTTTCAGACTGGGAAAAGGCAGGCTCAGTGGTTGAGAGGCAGAACAGGTCAGGATCCAGAACTCAGTAATACTATGGTAAGCTAACAAACCCTCTCTCCACTGAGATCAGACAGGACAGGCACGCTCAGTGGATTAGAGGCAGAACAGGTCAGGATGAGGAAATCAGAAACACTATGGAATGCTAAAAACCCTCTCTCCACTGGCCCTGAGAACAAGAACAAGATAATCTTGCCCTGATAGCTGGATGCAGGTCCCTTAGAAAGAGGCAGGAGCAGGTGAATAAGAATAATTTCAGGTCTTCTGTAAAGATGCCATAAAAATTAAGTTTATTTTCTGAAATGCAGAGTTTTTTTCCAGGGGGTATAACTTCAAAATAGATGTAGCCTATACGAAAAGCCAATCAAATCTAAAGCAAACTGCAAAGTGCTTTAAATCCGTCAAAACTGTTCTACTCCATGCTGGGTCAGATCCTGATGTTTGATCAATGAGCAGGGAAAGCAGAATAAAGCATTAGCCTCGCTGCATGCAGTTAGCCTAGCCTTGTAGCTAAATAATTGTACTTTCTAACAGTTGACTGTGACATCAGTGGCGGGAGGTGGTGAGCAAATAAAGCTGCTTTTAGCTCTGGGTGCAGGAGAGCTGCTCCCCAGGATGCTCCTATCTTTAGCATTGAAGAGTTTCTGCTCATTGACAACTTTAAATCAGAGTCTATGGGCGAAGATTTTTGCGCCCCAGGGTGTATTTTTTTTATTTTTATGTCTTGATCAAGGTCATTGGGTCATTGGGCGCCCTAGCACCCTGTATTGGCCAGCCGCCACTGCTTAAAAGTCACGATGTTTTTCCTCCTTAAGACTCTGAAAATGTCCAGAGTTAAATACTGGAATTAAAAACATCTCCGGAGAGGCACGCTGCCAAGCCTGCCTATAAGTACTGACCCTTGACCTCAGTATTTTTTGAGCCCTCCAGTGAACAGTTTTATTTAGTAAATCTTTCAAATTATGATCCCAGCTCTCCTTTAATCTTCTTTGACTATTATTTATTACCTCACACTCCATCTTCTTTGTTTCTTTTCCTAATGACTGTCTTACATCATTCAAAGACAGGAAAGTTTGCTGCCTATCTTCCCTCTATCTCTTTTCCTGCCTGAAGGGTTCTTCTGTCTTGCCTTTATAAAGCGGATAAGGATTTAAAGTCTCACTGAAGCTGTGGATCTTGACTCTTTGAGACTTCTTTCACTATTACCGTGCAAATCATTTGTTCTCTCAAACTATCAGATAAAGGAGTGGGAGTATAAAACAAAAAACTGTCACTTGTTAAAGATTTACCAGATTCCATATAACTTTCTTCTTTTAAAAACATTTAACTCTAACCTCCAGATTTCTAGAAACTGTCTCAGTGGTTCCCAGACTGGTTCAAAGGGAGGAGAAGTCTTCTTACTATCTGATAGTTGTTGGTAGATTTCCAGCTTCCTCCTCTGCTGCTTGGTGTTGTGACTCCAGGCAAGGAGCTCAACCTACTAAGGTGGGAGAGGGACACCAGAAATGCTGTTGAAGAAAGCTAGACTGATGTGATTCTGGCATGTTTATCATGTAAAGCATTGACAAAATCCAGCAAAGGGATAAAAACAGAAATTTATTACAGCTTCACAGATGAATTCTGTTTGAAAATACTTCTGGGATAAACTTAGTCTTAACACAAAATAAATCTTAGTATTCTCCTTGAATCTAACCATTTATATTTCTGTCCAACACTTAGAATGCAGGGTATCTAGTGAATGAACCAAAAATAGCTTGGAGAACATTTTATTTTCTGTGGTCCTCCCTTAAAGAGCAATGTATTACTGATTGCTTGGTGTTTTAACTGACTGGTCGGTTCCCAGTCAGTAAAAAGTCTTCCAGCTGATGGCATTACGATAGTTACTTTACAGATACCATCTTTCTTATTTCTCCACTGTGAAGACAAATCTCCAGCAGTCAGCAGGTGAGAGGCGGACCCTGGACAGGTCTCCAGTCCATCGCAGGGCAACACAGAGACACACAGGACAAACAACCATTCACACACATTCACACTCACACCTAAGGAGAGTCTAGAGAAGCCAATGAACCTAACAGTCATGTTTTTGGACTGTGGGAGTAAGCCGGAGTACCCGGAGAGAACCCACGCATGCTCAGGGAGAACATGCAAACTCCATGAAGAATGACCCCGGGCCGGGAATCGAACCCAGAACCTTCTTGCTGCAGGCAGCAGTGCTTTATAGAACTTTGCGTTAATCAGTAAAAAAAGAAAAAGAATAATTTTGGTCGCAATCACTGAGTCTAGGAGCGGCCATTCTCCCCGCTTTCCAAGCTAAATCAATGGGAACTACTAGACACATCTGCAATCAACAGGGTCAAATCAAAGGTGCAATCAAAGGGATCTTAAAGGAAAAGTCCGGTCAGCAAGAATGCTCAATGGATCATTATTTATACCGAAAACTAATACGTTTGTGGTGATAGATGAATTTAGAGGTAATCAGTAAAAAAATAAAAACGGAACAGGAACGTCCATTTTAGCCCAAATATAGTAGCCCCTCCCTCCTGCCATCTTCCAGCAGTGACGTCACGGTGCGGTAAGCCTAGCGCCATTCTCCCCGCTTTCCAAGCTAAATCAATGGGAACTACTAGACACATCTGCAATCAACAACAATTATTGAAGATTTCCAGAGGACTTCACCATTGAAATTCACCAGAGCTATAGTGAAACTGACAATGCCCACG